CTAAAGGGCAAAGGCACATACTGTGGCAAGACACCGGGAGATTCATATCCAGAGGGGGGCATTTTTCTCAGGGGCTTTGGACCGGCTTAGGACCCTGTGGAGCCTGTGGAAGAGGCTTAGGGGAGAGGGACAGCTCCATCATCCCTGGGACTGTCCAGGATTGGGCCAGCAAGCTGCTTTGGGAGCGTCAGACCTACAGAGTCCAAGTTCTGCCTGCACCACCCACAATGAATAGGATTGTGGACACAGGGATAACAAGCTCCTGTATGGCTCACTATTAAACCAAGCACAATCATCCCTATTAATGTAATCTTCCACCCTCTATCCCTCCCTCCGTCATTTCCTCTATTACACTCAGTAATTACTTCTTTCAATAAGAGTCTGGGGACACTTGTCAAGCATCTTTAGAATTTTGCCAGAATCCAGGCACCCCCGGTGGCGCAGCAGTTTAGCGCCGCCTGCAGCCCGGGGTCTGATCCTGGAGACCCAGGATCGAGTCCTGCGTTGGGCTCCCTGCATGGAGCCCGCTTCTCCCTCTGCCTGTGTCTCTGCCTCTCAGTCTCTCTCTCTCTCTGAATAAATAAAATAAAATCTCTCTCTCTGAATAAATAAAATAAAAAGAAAAGAATTTTGCCAGAATCCAAGAAGCCACCATCATGGTACAGAAAGTGTACAACCCAAGCCTTTATGGATGAGTTAAAACTTCGGCAGGTAGAAATGGGTTAAAACAAAAAGCAGTCAGATGGAATGGATGGTGTGAGCAAAGACAGAGAAGTAATAAAATGTGGAAGAAGTGTGAGCAATAATTTGTCATCACTTAGGCAGTGTTTCCCAAGAATGTTTGACCATGGAGCATCTCATGAGATTAGTGACCTAAGAAATGCACTTCAAAAAAGGCTGCAGCATAGAGTGTGTATGTGTGTGTGTCAGAGAATAGAATAGTGAGTGCAGTGGCATCTGGGCTTGCTGAAAATCAGTACCTCTTCCACAGAATACTGGCCCACAGAGGTTCTCTATAGTCCTGCAACAAGCATGGAAAATACAGTGTCGTCCTCGGGATTCAGGGGAGGAGGCCAGAAGCATATTAAAGACCACTCCCCCACCCCACCGGTCTTGTAGCAAAGATACTTTAATGTTGTTTAACCCTGTGTGGAGCAAACTTACTTCACCATGAGTCCATTTGTTTCAGGGAACATCTTTATTTGGGGGACTAGAGGGCTATTTTTTTTTTTTAATGTTAACATGTACCTATGGTTTGAATACATTTCAAACAGAGCAATGGCGTGTGCTGTGAAAAGTTTTCTTCCCAGCCTCAGCTCCCTTAGACTCCTAGTTTTCTTTTTCCACAGGATAGCTCTTCTGTGTCTTTCCAGAGAATTTTAGGGTTCACAGGATATATGTGGTTTTTTTTTTTCCCCAAAATGCACATGGAGGGGATCCCTGGGTGGCTCAGCAGTTTAGTGCCTGCCTTCGGCCCAGGGCGTGGTCCTGGAGACCCGGGATCGAGTCCCACATTAGGCTCCCTGCGTGGAGCCTGCTTCTCCCTCTACCTGTGTCTCTGCCTGCCTTTCTCTCTCTCTCTCTCTCTCCATCTCTCATGAATAAATAATTTTTTTTAAAAAATGCACACGGAGGCAACTGATAAGCACATCTTTTCTGCAGGCATATTCCATCCTAGGTATATGAGATATGTGTTTAGGCATTCCTCTAGTGATGGCATCAAGATCACTTCTAGTCTTTTGTTCATCTGAACTAGGTTGGTAAATATGGCTTGCTGACTAAATCCAGCTCACTAGTTCCTTTTTTTTTTTTTGGACCTTATGGTCCTCAAACTAAAATCATTACTGTCTGGTCCTTTGCAGCTCCAAACAATGCTGTAATGAATATCCTTACCTATTATTGTGAACACATGCAAATAGATCTCTCATAAATATATCCATTTCGGTCTAAGCCAATCTGAGGGGCATAGATCACTGCTTAGTTTATTTTTCTTCTGTTTTGGGTGAGATTAAGCCATCTTTTCACAGATATAAAAATGTTTGTTTTTCTCTTTTTTGTAAATTTTTCTTTTTTTTAAATTTTCTAATTGGATAAAGAATATGAACAAAGGTATTTTTCTTTTTTTTTTTTATAAATTAATTTTTATTGGTGTTCAATTTACCAACATACAGAATAACACCCAGTGCTCATCCCATCAAGTGTCCCCCTCAGTGCCCGTCACCCATTCACCCCCACCCCCCGCCCTCCTCCCCCTCCACCACCCCTAGTTCATTTCCCAGAGTTAGAAGTCTTTATGTTCTGTCTCCCTTTCTGATATTTCTCACACATTTCTTCTCCCTTCCCTTATATTCCCTTTCGCTATTATTCCTATTCCCCAAATGAATGAGAACATACACTGTTTGTCCTTCTCCGGTTACTGTGGCCAAGTTCAAAAAGGGTGTTGCCTGAGTTCTTCTCTGGGATTTTGATGGAATCTTGTCTCACATTTAGATCTTTCATCTATTTTGAGTTTATCTTTGTGTATGGTGCAAGAGAGTGGTCCAGTTTCATTCTTCTGCATGTGGATGTCCAATTTTCCCAGCACCATTTATTGAAGAGACTGTCTTTCTTCTAGTGGATCGTCTTTCCTCCTTTATCGTATATTAGTTGAGCATAAAGTTCAGGGTCCACTTCTGGGTTCTCTGTTCTGTTCCATTGATCTATATGTCTGTTTTTGTGCCAGTACCACACTGTCTTGATGAACACAGCTTTGTAGTACAACCTGAAATCTGGCATTGTGATGCCCCCAGATATGGTTTTCTTTTTTTAAAATTCCCCTGGCTGTTTGGGGTCTTTTCTGATTCCACACGAATCTTAAAATAATTTGTTCTAAGTCTCTGAAGAAAGTCCATGGTACTCTGCGCCTTTTGATGGGGTCATTAAGCCCATTCACGTTCAGAGTTACTATTGACAGATATGAGTTTAGTGTCATCATGATATCTATTTAGTCCTTGTTTTTGTGGATTGTTCCACTGACCTTCTTCTTAAAGGGGAGTTTTAAGAGTCCCCCTTAAAATTTCTTGCAGAGCTGGTTTGGAGGTCACATATTCTTTCAGTTCCTGCCTGTCTTGGAAGCTCTTTATCTCTCCTTCCATTTTGAATGAGAGCCTTGCTGGATAAAGTATTCTTGGTTGCATGTTCTTCTCATTTAGGACCCTGAATATATCCTGCCAGCCCTTTCTGGCCTGCCAGGTCTCTGTGGAGAGGTCTGCTGTTACCCTAATATTCCTCCCCATGAAAGTCAGGGACTTCTTGTCTCTTGCTGCTTTAAGGATCTTCTCTTTATCTTTGGAATTTGCAAGCTTCACTATTAGATGTCGAGGTGTTGAACGGTTTTTATTGATTTTAGGGGGGGATCTCTCTATTTCCTGGATCTGAATGCCTGTTTCCCTTCCCAGATTGGGAAAGTTTTCAGCTAGGATTTGTTCAAATACATATTCTGGCCCTCTGTCCCTTTCGGCGCCCTCGGGAACCCCAATTAAACGTAGGTTTTTCTTCCTTAGAGTGTCATTTATTTGCCTTAATCTGTCTTCGTGGTTCTTTAATTGTTTATCTCTTTTTTCCTCAGTTTCCCTCTTTGCCATTAACTTGTCTTCTATGTCACTCACTCGTTCTTCCACCTCGTTAACCCTCGTCGTTAGGACTTCTAGTTTGGATTGCATCTCATTCAGTTGATTTTTAATTTCTGCCTGATTGGATCTAAATTCTGCAGTCATGAAGTCTCGTGAGGCCTTAATGCTTTTTTCTAGAGCCACCAGTAGCTGTAGAATAGTGCTTCTGAATTGGCTTTCTGACATTGAAGTGTAATCCAGATTTTGTAACTCTGTGGGAGAGAGGGCTGTTTCTGATTCTTTCTTTTGAAGTGAGGTTTTCCTTCTAGTCATTTTGCTCAGTGCAGAGTGGCCAAAAACAAGTTGTATTGGAACACGGGGGAGTATCACTGGTCCGTCCAGCTGGTCTTCTGGGGGAGGGGCCTGCTGTGCTGATTTTCAGGTGTTAGCACTTGGGGGAGCTGCTCTGCCCCTGCCTGCTGCCGGGCTCAGCGGGGGTTGTTTACCCCGCCAGGCCCCAGGAGGAACAGCAGCAGTTGCTACGGCAACTCTGGAAGCCTGGATTCAGCCTCCGCAGGAACTACCGGGCTCGGGGCTCTCGGTTCTCCGTCCGCAGGGCCTGGAGGCTCCGGGGCGGGGCCGCTGATCTGCTCAGCTCGGGGCAGGAGCGTCCTCGCTGTCCTGGGCCCTCCCGGCCTCTGCCTGTCCCGGGGGAGGCCGGATCCTGGGCTGTGTCCCGGCGCCCTGTGCTCCGGGGCCTGCGCTGTGGGATTCGCGCTCCCGCCCCGCAGCCCCCTCCGCGGAGCCGCCGCCCGAGCCCCTCCGAGCTGCTCCGGTCGGTCCCGCCGTGCGCGCTGCAGCCCTTAGGGAGCTCGGAGCACTCTCCCTGCGCTCGCAGGTGTCTGTTAGTGTCCCCGGGAGCCCGAGGGCATCCCCGCCCTCCTGGGTCCTGCTCCAACTCCCTGCGAGCCCCTTTCCGCCCGCCCGGGAAGGTTGGTGCAGCTCCTGCTCCTCCGGGACGGGGCTCTCCTGTCCTGGGGACACTCGCCCCGGCCTCAGCCCGGCTCCTCGCGGGGCCCCTCCCCCTCGGAGGCCTTTTGTTCCTTTATTTCTTTTTCCCCGTCTTCCTACCTTGATAGAAGCGCGAACTCTTCTCACTGTAGCATTCCAGCTGGTCTCTCTTTACATCTCAGGCCGAATTCGTAAATTTTCAGGATGGTTTGAAGGTTATCTAGGTAATTTGGTGGGGACAGGTGATTTGGGGACCCTGCTCTTCCGCCATCTTGCCCCTCCCTCCCCACAAAGGTATTTTTCTTATTGCTTTATAAAAACATTAAAGGAATTAGCATTTTGTCTTGTGTATAAATGTTTCCTCCATTTGTCATTTGTCTGACTTTATGTTTTTTTTTTTAAAGATTGATTTATTTCTTTTTCGTGTCATCCTTGCACAGGGGCCATGCTAATCTTCTCTGTATCGTTCCAACTTTAGTCTATGTGCTGCCAAAGCGAGCACTGATTTATTTTTTAGAGAGAGAGAGCATGAGCAGTAGGGAAAGGGCAAAGGGAGAGGGAGAGAAATCTTCAAGCAGACTCCCCACTGAGCACGGAGCCTAAGGCTGGGCTCGGTCTTATGATCCTGAGATCATGACCTGAGCTGAAATCCAGAGTCTGATGCTTAACCAACCTAGCCACCCAGGTGCCCCTATGTTTTTTTTTTTGTTGTTGTTGTTGTTTTGTTTTTTGTTTTTGTTTTTGTTTTCATGCAGAGTGTTCTCATAAAAGTGAAGGTGAGTTCAAGTACTGACAGCATAGGGCTGGAAGGACCTGGCCTAAGCAGGCAGTTCTTGTTAGAGGAGCTCCTATTTTGTTCCAGGTCCCAGTCAGGTATTGGCAATCCAGTGGTGAATAAGATAGGCAGAGGCTCTGCCATGGTGGTGATGATGGGAGAGTAGGACAGTACTCAGTGGGATTGTCACAGAGATACCTCCCCCAGTTGGACCAAGGAATGAGGGGGGACTACCCAGGGGTCCAGAAGGCAAGAGGAGAGTTCTGAGCAACAATTCATGCAAGGCTAGACCTCAGAGAGATGGCAGTTTCAGAGTTCAGGTTCCTGGAGCCCAACCTGTTCTGGGTGGTGATGAGACAGCTGTCACAGCGATGCCTGGCCGTTAGGGAGCAAGGACAAGGTCCAGGGAGTCTCTTTGAATTCCTGCGTGGACAGAAAATTGCCCTAGCAGGGCCTACTCAAGGTAGGAGTTTTGTCTCTTTGTACAGAGGAGAAAAGTTACTCTTAGGGCTCAGTCATGGCCAGTAAAGACTAAATTGAAGTCAGTGGTTAGGACTGGTTGGGGCAGTGGTAAAGTGTTGTTCTAGGAGCAGCAGAATATGGGAAGAAAATGCTGACCTCTCCTGGAGTGAAGGCCTCTCCCTGCTCATCCACAGTCCTGGCCTTGTTCACACCTCTACAGAAGAATCAAATGGATAGTGAACCACCTGTGCAAGACAGGGTAGCAGCCAGATAAGGGAAGAAGAGGAGGCAGGAGGGAGAAATGATGAGAGAGAGGGGCTGAGACTCTCAGGCCTTGAATGCAGGTAAGGTGTCTAGAGGCTGATGGAGGTGATGAGGGCCAGGACACCTGGAAGCTGCTTTCCTGCCTGGAGCCCCACTCCCCAGGCTCCTTGTAGGCAATGACAAGAAAGAGAGGGGAGCCGTGGGGAGAGCCAAGAGCTCACAAAGGTTCCGCTGTGCTTGGCCAGGGCTTCCACCAGCGCCCGTTTGCCTGCTTGCTTGTTCTGAGGGAAGGATCTGATTCAGAAAGGTGGTTGCCCAGGGCTCAGGGCCAGGCCTGCTGGCTGCCAGCCTAGCACAGCGCCCTCACTCCAAGCTCCCCATCCTGGGGCCTCTTCATTCCTCTTTCTTTTGGTGCTCCCTGTTAGTGAAATTCCACAGCCTTATACTGAAGATTTACTCAGTGCTGGAGGCCACCTGAGGACCTGGGAGAGGGGGTGCACAGGATGGTCCAATGGACACTTCATAGAGAGAGACACATGGAAGCTGCCCTGCACTGAGCACCTATTATATGCCAAGCACTGGGCATTTGTAGGGTTCATATTTAATACTCCCAACAAACCAAGGTAGGTATCATTATTTCCATTTTACAGATAAGAAAGTCCCAGAAACGCTAAGTGACTTGTCCAGGGATGATAGTAAGTCAACAGCAGCGCTAGAATTCTAACTCAGATCAGCCCTGCCTGTGAATCTAATCTCTACTTAAACCCTGTAGTGCTTTGTGCAGGAAATGGCTCTGAGTCTTGCACATGTCTGGTACAGAGTGAGGTTCCCATGAAAGTTGACTTTTTCATGTACTTTCTCTGCTGGGCCTTGTGAACTTCACAGCAATTCTTTAGGTCAGTAATCTTCCTGTAAATTTGACAATGGAAGTTCAGAGAAGCTGAGGAACTGCTCAAAGTCACATAGCTTGCAGCAGAGGATGGGGGAAGTTGGGGGAAATTCAAAAGAAGGGAGTGAGTTGGAGTGAACTAGCCTAAGTAATGACAGTGATTTTCAAGATGTTCAGGGTGCCAACTGAAGATAGGGAGTATCCCTGGATGTTGAATAGTAGTGCTGCTCATGGGGTATTCAGCCCTGACTTTCAATGGGCTCTCATCAGAAGAGCAGTGCTCAGGGGTGCCTGGGTGGCTCAGTCAGTTCAGTATCCAACTCTCAGTTTCGGCTCAGGTCATGATCTCAGTGTTGTGAAATCAACACTGCTTTAGTTGGGCTTCATGCTTGGTGGGAGTCTGCTTGAGGTTCTCTCTCTCCCTCTCCCTCTGCCCCTACCCTTCCTCCAAAATAAAAAATAAATAAATAAATCTTAAAAAAAAAAAAAAGAGCAGTGTGCAAATGGCTGGGCTCAAGACACACATGGCCCCATGTGTTTTTTATGATACTGCAGCAAGAAAGGGCCTTAACTGGGCCTATTTCCTTTTCTGTCAGATGAGGACTAGGTCTTTGATTTTATTTTTAAGCAGTGGAACTTTTCTTTAAAATAATCTTAAACTGAAGCTCAATACTCTTTCATCCATTCAACAAATATTTATGGAAACCTTCCATGTGCCGGGAATGTGTGGTTGACCGGATTTTCTTCCTATTTTGAGGCACTCTGACATATGGTAGAGAAATTAAGGATCCCCACCCCTCTGCTCAGGATTAGAAATGGCCACCTGAGCTACCAGAAATCCACACCCTCATCTGGGAGCCTACCACCAGAGTTGACTTGAGAGGCTCTCTCTCTATGCCTACAGGAACTTAAAGATACTTACATACAACCAACCACATCACAGATTAGATGACCAGGCCATGGGCCCCTTGAAGCAGTCTTTTCCTGGCATCATTAATCAGAGTCTTGGCAGAGTTGTTAGAGACTGGGCATATGTGTGAGGTTGGAGAAGCAAAGAGGAGGCATGGCCTAAGCAAAGCCCTTGAGGTGGGAAAGAAGCTTTCTTGCAGACACCAAGCACCCCTTCTCTCTCCTGTGGGCAGAGCCTTCCGAACAAGCCCCCCTCCCCCGCTCCTTCACTCACCCCTGCCATCCTCTGCTCAGATCCAGGGTGCCAGCTTGGGTTTGGTGACAGCAGCCCAAAGGAGGTGTTGGATGGCTGAAGCCCTCCATTGTAGAAGCTCTGGCACCTTCCACAAGCCCAGTTCGCCAAGTTGTCCTTCTGCCAAGCTGGAGAGCGGCTGGCTCCTGAAGGGACCCTCTCCAAGCTGGTAACTTGATCTTCCACAGCCCAGCCCCAGCCCATCTCTGAATACCAGAGCTGGAGCCCTGAAGAGTTTATAGCAACATAGCAGGACCTGGGAGCAGTTTTCAGGGTCAGAAGGAGCAGCTACCAGGAGCCCTAGAGCCAGGGTGAGTGGCGAAGAGATGGGGCTAACAGGCCAAAGACCTGGGGTCTAGCTCCAACACTTAACTAACTTGCTCTGTGACTTTGGGTAAATCACCTTGTGATTTAGGCCTCAGTTTTCTCATAAGGAAGTCTGATAGAGGGTTGGTTCCCAGAAGTTTACTGTTGGACTGGCCTGGGGCTCCGACACAGGTCTCCTTGGTCTACGGCATCCCTTTCAGGTAAAGGTCTGATTGCTCTGCACTGGGTGATGAGGGTGCTTGCTGGTTCTATGTCCCATGGTCGTCAGCCTCTCAGCTCTCACGGAACATTCTAAATGCAATGGAACTCCATTGGATGTAGTTTCCATTTCCTTCAAGATAATCAAGTAAATCAGGGTTTTCGTCAACTGCAGTAAAGCTTAAGAAAAAGCTAAATACAGAACTCTTCCTGTCTGAATCTCTAAATTGACAAAACCAATGTGTGAGTAATATTGTAAAATAAAATTTTGATTGTTTCTCCCCTGGAATTTTTTTCCACTACCATATCATTCTTTTGCTATCATAATTTTTTACTATCTTTTTTAACATAATTTTTAAAACTTTCATCATATCAAGTATGCTATTATAAACTTAACCACTGTCCTTTATGAAGATTATGCCTTTCCCATTTTATATGCCACTTATAGCATTAAAATGTCTTTTTTTTTTCAGATGAAATGATGGTGTGATAGTATATGGTAGTTCTCTGAGTAAACTTTTCACAAAATCAAATACATAGAATATTCATGCTCACATGTGTCCAGCTTGATGTGTTGAACACACTCACTGAGTAACCATCACTCAGATCAAGAAACAGAACATAGTGATAGTTCTTTTTTTAATGTTCTTTCCCAAGCAAAATAAGAAGTTGTGAACAACTGTACATTGTTCTCCCCGCTATTTATTTAAAATGTACCTATCTGTAAAATCTAGCATTTGGGGACCTTCTGGGCTAGATGATCTAATGTCCCCATGCAGTGTGAGCACTCTGCCACTCTTTCTGAGCTCTTGGAGCTGGTGTCTTTGGATCTACACCAACCAGAGGGAAGTAGGCCTGGCCTGGAACTCTGCCCAACCAATGCCAGGGGATATGGAGAATCTGGCCAAATATCCCTCCAGATGTGGAACTCAGCACTGCTGGCTGCTGAAAGCCAGGGCCAAGGGACAGTGAAGAGGAGTGGCTTTGGGCAAGAGATGCTGGAGGATGAATCATTTCTCCCAGTCAGGCCTCTCTCCAGCCGCTTTTCATTAGCCATTATTCTTCCCTTCCACCCACTCGCCTTCTTGGACACCTAGGAATCCCTAAGGGCTCTTTTGTGCACCAATAGTGCACCCCTTCTACCCCAACCAATTCACAGGCCATGCTTCCCAGACCCAGGAGATTGTTCTCCACCTGTTATATCTCTTTAATGATACACGAGGAAATCCTAGCACCTTTCTGAAAGGATAAGGACTTTTTTCAAAATCACACAGCCAGCTGAGAGTCCAGGAGGGCACATCCACTCTACCAAGGTAATGCACATTTATCAAGGATGTGCTTTGTGCCAAACACATAGGAAAGGGTAATTGTAAGGAAAAAAGAGCC